CACAGATGCCACTCCCCCCCCCCCCCCCTCCTCTCCAGGGTTGAACCATGAGGGAAGCAGTGGCAGCAGCTGCCAAGCCATCATGGCAGGGTAGACGTGTGGCCCAGCACACGAGCAGTTGGCAGCAGGAGAACTGGAGGGCAGCACAGCTTCCCTCCCTCTCCAACCCGGTCCATTACTCCTTACACATTGTGGTTGAGATGGGGAAACTGGCAGCAGGGGCAGCAATGAGTCTCCTTGCCCCACTCTGTCTTCTTGCACCAAGTCCCACACTCTGGACCACAGAGGTGGCTCCTGCCCATGCGAATCCAGTCTGGCCAGGCTGCGGCCCCATGCCTGCTATGGGTGCACAAATCTGGAGGGGTGCTAAGGATTCTCACTTGTTTGGAACTGACCTGGACCTGTCATAGCCCAAAGGGAGATCTGACATTAACCTAAAGGCCAGCCACCTTGGGACAGGAAAAGAAAGCAGCAACAGCAGTAGGACAATGCCTTCTTTATTTCTCCCTTTCCAAACTCCCTCCTCCTCCTTCATGGAGTGTCCTCGCCCTTCACTAGAAGAATTACACCTACTACCTCTGGTGTAAGATGAAAAAAATCCATCAGATGGGAAATAATGTTAGCAGAAACAGCCAGGGGTGTGAGAGCCCACAGAATTAGGAGGGTCTGGGAGGAGCTATGGCATGCCGGGGATGCTGGAGAACTTCAACTTGGGTGCAACAGCTGTGGGGAGTGGCCACACCTCAATGATATAGGAGCAAGGTTATGCGGATTAGAGATAATCCTTCCCTAAAATAGTGTCACTTTAAAATGAATGATGAATGCTTTAAGCAACTTAAAGGTGTTAGCATCCAGCCAATCCAGGGATTAAGAGCTCCAGCCTCCACCTAAAAATACTGTGTAGCAAATAGACTGTGTTTCTGTGACTGAGGAGGTGTGTTTTCACCCCCTGCCCCGAGTTCTGGTAGCTCTTTCCTGTACTCTGGGCCTAAGATGGACTTGATCTGTAAATGGCTCAGCTCTTCTGGGCAGAGATGTAGTGAGCAATTTCTGCATCTGGAGTGGGGACTGTGTTTGGGGATGGGAATTATGCTGACCACTAGAGAGCTGGGGGGCATGTGGAACAAGGGGAGGAGGAGCAGAGTTTTACCTGCCCTGGCTCACCTCACTCAGGCAGCAGCTGTTACTGCTGGGGGGGACAGGCAGTGGTACAGGCTCCCCATGGCCCATTCCTGTTGCCTCATTTGTTCCACCACCATTTAGAGGACTGTGCACCCCATGACTAAAACCTCCCCAGGGAGAGGGGGTGTCATTGCCCCTCTTCCCCCACATATGCCTTACTAAGCATGTAGCTGGGCCTGTCCAGCTCCAATCATGGGGTAGCACAGGGATGCTTCTACCATGACAAAGGCTTATTGGGGGAGGGGGCCATTCTGGGTTCCCTTCTAAGTCACTGCCCAGGGCTGATTCCCCACTCCCCACTTCACCCATTTACAGTATTGTTTCCCTGACATAGCTCATGGAAAATCCCTCACCACATTTAAGAAACATTTAAGGAGATCTGTCTCCTAGGAGTCTGTGTAAGGTGCCCATGCACCCCTGCCAAGCTGCAGGTGGGATCTCTGCACTAATCTTGTACTCGCCAGTGCAAACCCCAATATCAAAGGCAGGTTGGGGGTTGGGCCATGATCAGATGGTGGGTCTACATTTGCATAGATGCTGTGCCAGGCTCGGATGGGAGGGCAGCAGTTGCTTCTCTGATCCGTGGATGAGAATAACAACTTCTGGGGGACTGAGGGTGGGTTGTTGCTACCCATTACAGACCCATATGTAATAAATAGGCCTTTGGCCCAGGGCCCAATGGCAAATTATATTTAAAGACTTCTCACAGCTCCAAAAATAAAGTGAAGCAGTCCCTTTCCTCCATTCTGCATATCAGCAGCAGAGAGTTGGGGCTGTTTGCCCATCCAGCTCTTTGCCCATCCCAGAAATATGATTTGGACTATAATTGCAGACAAATACTCACAGAAAAACAATATGACACAGAAGTCCACTATCCCTCTGGCTAATGCAACCTCTTGGAGATGCTTCTATTGATCTTTAAGAATGGGCTAAAATAAAAAACTTCCCAAAGGTGGGGAGGATTGTGCTCTGTTGGAAGCAACAAGCTGTGGATTAAACAAGCTTGCCCTGTTGTAGTGTACTGATTCCCAAAGGGGCAAGCTGCAGCTCAAATCCTTTCTCCTCTGCCCTGAGAGCTTGTTGCGAATGCCACTCACATGTCTCTGAGGAGGCCATTGAGCTCCTGCTTTATGAGGTGTATGTAAGGGCAATGGCCCTAAACCACAGGAGGGCAAGTTTGAGCCAGCTTCTCAGGAACTAATGCACTGGTTAATGTGCATAGCTGGGGAGCAGAAAACCATGGGTCAAAATGTACTCTGAGGAGAGAACTCATTACAAGCCTGGTGAAGGGCCAGGATGGGGAAGCAGAGAACCTGCACGTCTTCAGTCTCCGTGTCCCACAGAAGAGACGGTACAAGCTGCTCAGGAGTTGTGGTAACACAGCACAACAGTCCACTCCTGGGCTGAGAGAGGAGTTCAGCCTCCATCCGGTCCTGGTTCTTCTTGACTCTGGGCACCAAGTGCATTTTGACAAGGAGGTGCTTGTCCTCAGGGTCTCCTCAGATGTCTAGAAGGGGACAGGGGTACCTCCCATTATAACATCCTGAGCTACCTGGACCTCTGCCTCTGATTTATCAGAGAGACGTAGTTAGTGGTGTTATCCTGAAGGGAGGCAGAAGGCTGGGCAGGGTGTCAGCTCATAAAGTAACTTGTTCAGAGAGGCATGAGCTTTTGTGCATGACAGCCTACTTTGTCAGATGCTATGAATGGCCTTGCAGAGATCAGGGACACTAACTAGGAGGGAATAAGGTCATTTAAAAACAAAGACTAGGGAAAGTAGGAGGAAAGGAGAGGCATGGCTGAGAGAGGGGAAGGTGAGAGCGGAAAAGGGCTAAACAAAGCAGTTAAGGGCCATAGAGGGCCACCAAAGTTAGTAGAGCTAGAGCAGGTAGTGGGATGAGAATCCAGAGCCGCTGTTGAGCCCATACTTCAGGCAATCCACTGTGTGGCTGATTTCTTGTGCTGCAGTTTTGCATTCATGCTGTTTTGTAAAGCTCTGTTGTTTAAGAACAGCTCCTGTGAGGTCAGTGATGGATGTCCAGGACAGGTAAAGGTTCTGGCATTGGCTTGTGTGTCAGATTGGTGTCCATTTACTCTTTCACATGGAGATTCCCCAGTTTTCTAAAGTAGACAGAGGGGCACTGTAAACAGGTGGTGCCAGCTGTGCCCCCTCATCAGCACAGGTGACTTCATCGCTTGACCAAACAGCATGGATTATAAGGCAGGGAAAGCTTCAGGCAAAACTGAGGAAAGGTATAAGCAATGAAAACCAGGATCTTATCTTTGTAGCATTAGGCAATGTTAAGTATAGGTGTTAGTGCCAACTCCGTCTGTAATTCATGCTCCAGTTGAGCAATCATACATGCATCAAACTTCAGCGGTTTGCTCAAGTATTATTGCCATCAAAAGAAATCTGTTATTGCTTAAGAGTTTGCTGAAGCCAAGCCAGGCACAAAATAGAAATTGTGATATGGCACTGTAGCAGAAAGCCCCCTTTTCCTCTTGCCTGCATTTGCTCTCCCCTCTTTGGATATGTTTCTCTTTTTCTACCTTTTCTTCCTTCCTCTCTCTTTCACTTTAAGATAAGGAATTGTGTTTTAAAATTTGTATGTGTGCATTTTGTATCTCCCCTTGTGTTTTGGTATTTTTATCTATTTGTGTGCCATGGCATTTGTAGCTTATATTTTATAGTCCTCACCTTTCAACTTTCAACTGAATGTGTTTAGTTTCATAAGTAAATTATACATTGTAACAATGTTAACAAGGATGGGAATCAAACTCTGCTTCCCTGTATCAGGCTGGCCCCTGAAAGAGCAAGTGAATCAGTGATTGAATGTGTAACATGGTAGCAGACAGCAATTAACACCTGGGAGACTGCAGATCGGAAGCCTGGGAAGCTGCAGATCAGCCAACGGAAGAACTCAATAGAAGACAATGTAACAACCGGGAAATCTCTAAACGTCACTGATCAAGGGCTAGAAGCCCTGGCCTGAGTTAATCAACGCCGGGGACCAACTTTTGGGCTGAATATCTCCAGATCGACCACTCCCAGAGCCCTATTAAAAAATTCATCAACAGACTCCCAAACCTGCACGTTCATGCGGACGACCCCTGGGGCTGACAGATGCCATCCAGTAGCCACCGAGCAGGGGGGAAGTCCCACGAGGGTCAATGACCCCTGGATTGGGCAAACCTGAAAACTGGGGAGTCACCAAAGTCTGCCAAGGACAGATAAAAGGCAGTGAAAAGTGACCCTCAGTGGCGCCCTCTTGATCTCCGACTTGACCAGACCTGTCCAGCCAGAAGGACCAGCCGGCGACCCCCTTCTGGATGATAACACCACGCTGAAAGAAGCTTCGACTGGCCATCGACAGCAGACTCCAGCGCTTGTAGGATAGGTATACCTGACTCTGTAGCTTGCTACTGTGTGGGTGTATGTGTGTGCATGTGTGTGTGTGTGTGTGTGTGTGTGTGGGGACCAGCCCCAAGGTTTATGATTTAACTCATTACAGTGTTTCAATCTGCCTAATAAACTAGAATTTTAAGGATCCCGAGTTGGACCTTTACATTTGTAGCCAACAGCACCTAGGAGATTTGTGTGCCTAAGTTTTACCACAGTAGTCTGAAAACATTGGCCTTCTTGTTTTTCCATTTATCCATATGGAAACTAGACTGTAAAAATACTTAAAGGTGTATATGGTACTGGTTGGAGGTGTTATCTTTATTATAATTAAACACTGGCATTGTTCTGAAACAGGACTTCAGATAACTATCTCAGATAAATGTGAGAGAGGGTGGTTCTCTTGAGAGGGGGAGTTTGCTGTGATGCCTGCAGTAAAACTGGGCCTAAAAGCTAATAAAAGATAAAGGGGAGCTACTGGTTCTCTAACCATGACAGCATAGTTAATTTTTTTTGCCCCCTTCTAACAGTCAGACTCTGAGAAACGTGTTCCAACATATATATGGATTGTGTTATTTCCTGCCAGTTCTTTTTTCTTTTACCATGAAAATAAAGTCTAATGCATAGTATCTTCAGATGAACATAGCTTTGGAGGGTTTTCTAGAGACAGGTCCTCAAGGACCACACAAGGTGCAGCTGGGGTACATTTATGAGGCCCATTGGTCTTCACCCATAAGAGCCATCCTTACTTGTCCTGCTGACAGCAAATCCATATTTATTCCATCTGTGGTAGCAGGCAGGGATTGCAGGGCTCCCTAGCATGTGTCCTCCATTCACTGGTCCATCCCTGCATATGATACAGAGTTTCTTTTCCATATGTGGCCTTTAATGCTATAAAGGTCCCTGAGAGTTTGGTCTTGGGTCACCCAGCAGCACATATGAAGCATTAAGCAGCCTTACACAACAGGAGGGCTTCTCCTTCAGGTAGTAATCGCCTGCATATCCTCAGATAATGAAATGTGTTAGCAAAGAATGGATTTTTCCATTGCACTGCACAATGGACAACAATTCTGATTTGCATCAGCCCAGACTGCCATAGTGCTAGATTTCTCATGGAAACAGAAACTCCTCTTCCTGTAGAAAAGGTTTTCAGAATAAGTGACATTATCTCAATTTGAGCTGAAAGTTTTGTTCTGGATGAAGAAATTAAACTGTTTTATTTTAAGAATATGAAAACAAAACCTTCTCCCAGTTTCTTTTTGTTCCCAGTCAAAATACTTCCTGGACCTGAAGTCGTGAGTCATTCTGGTGTCCCGTAAACTTCATTTTTTCAGCAAATGAACTGCGATTTAGAAAAAAAGTTTGCCTAGTTCTAGTTTTATCCAATGGTGTAGTTAGACCAAGACCTGAGCTGAGCCGGCTCGTGAAAGGGACAGTTTGGGGGTCAGGCCATGATAAGGTTATGGATTGTATTTCCATAGATGCTGTGTCTCAGCGCTCTGCTCAGCTTGGATGGGAGGGCAGCAGTCGCTGGTTGAGAGATCAGAACAGGAACACCTTGGATCGGTTGTGGCCTGCGGTCATGGGCACAAGAGGTCTTTCCACCAGTGGAATTGTTATATTGACCAGTATTAAAAAAGAAGGGAATGGTCAACTCAGAACCCCATTGTGGGGCAACCTCCCCCAAGCTGAAGGGGAATTACTCCTGAATATGTCAAGGGTAAAACACTAGCAGCACAATTTACACCAGTTTAAGTTTTGTCTGTCCACATCTATCCCAGGGTAGACATTTGCTAAAGGCTCCTTGTACTTTGGTGCAGTGATAATTGCCAACTGTCTAAGATGCCTGTAAAACTGTCTATTCCTAGTCCAGATGTAATTTATGTTCATATATGCAACCCTTCTGCTGAGCGCCTGTCAGCAGCAACAAGAACTAGGTTCAAGTTTGGGATACTAAATATATGTTACCTTGGCTCGAGCCCCATCCCAGTCTGCCTGGGAAACACTAGATAAATCACTAGGGTGTCCAATAAAACCAACAAGTCTTCCCTCACAAGCAGTATGAACACAACCCCCAATTTATTATGGAGACAAACACCAGCACACAACATACCGTCAAGTAAAATAAAAACACTGTTATGGTTCAGAGTATACCCTGCATCACCCCTACCCCTATTGGGAAGCATTCGACCCCAGGCTTGGCAGTCCAAGAGTACAAGAGTCTTAACCCTAAAAAGTTTTGTCCCTGGGGATTTGGATGCATTATTTTCCTCTCTGTCACCATCCGCTGGGGGTGCCAGTTCCCTCTGTGTTGTGAAGGGCCCTTCGGTGAGTTAATGTAGCTCCAAGGAGCTGCTGGGGAGCACTGATCTCTGCGCCTGCCCCGGATTCCCATTGATGTGACTCCACCAAGCTGTTATGAAGCGCCAATCTCAGCTCCTGCTTGAGTGGCTGCAGGGGTGAGCTACCAGCTCCTGCCCTGGACTCCCAATCTAAACCCCACATGGCTACTGGACTTGAGAAAACCTAGCTCTCTGTACTACCTAGTCACAGGCTCCAGCCAGGATTCCAGCATTTCCCCTCCCCTTCCCCTCTCCAGGGGACCCAGGGGAAAAACAAAAAAAGCCTCCCAGCCCAGGTGGCCTGAACCTTAACTAACTTTTCTGGCCTCATTACAGGGCCCAAGTCAAAAAGCAGCATCACTGGAACGCTGCTAATGCAGACCAATCAATTCAAAGGTGGTGAGCACGCCAGGATTTTGCCAGAGACGCTAACCTGGTTTTACAGGTTTTGTTGAGGAATCTTAAGGTACTGGTCTAAGGGGAGATGGGAGGTGGTCCTCTCCAGTCCTTGAGGAGGCACAATATACTACAATCACACAGAAAACATGATCATGCTTTACAGCCAAACAGGATACACAGTGACATGAAACACACTTTATAGCACAAAATGTCTTGTACATTTTGGGTGTACTACATATCATGAAACCAGTGATGCTAGGCTGAACAGGTTGAATTTTATTATCCAACTATCACGTGCTCAACCCACACCCACTTCTGTCCACTAACAGCCCACCGTTTAAGGTTTTATTACAGTGAAGCAAAAAAATTACTAGGTTGTTTTTCAATCCATGTTGTTAGAGGCAGACCTGTGGTTGAGAGGACATGGTGCAAGGTCTATGCTTATAAATGCACCCATGTGCCTCAGCACTAGGCAGAACTATATTCCTTTTTTCCCCTCTAACATCTTTCACAGCATCCACTACTAAGAGGAGACAGCCCTTTGGAGAGGCGGTGGCTTGTGAAGGTTATAGTACAGGGGACAAAAGGGACAGGATGAGCAGAGAGGAAGGAGGCACAAAGTGATGTAAGGTGAGCAGGGGGAAGAAGCATTTGATAGAGGGAGGTAGAATGTACAGGACGTCTGGGGCAAGCGTGACATGTGCCTCTGGGGGCCCTGTACACAGGTTCTGCTTTAGGCCCCCGCTTTTTACTCGACAACTCCACTCAAACTACCATGGCCAGGATGGGGCCCATGCAACTGCCCTGTCGACTTCACTTTCTACCCAACAGGGAAAACATCAGACCAACAGTTGGTGTTTGGAGCATTTATAATCAAGGGTCTTATTACCAAAGAGTCAGGCAGTGTTAACTGCAGGCAGCAGTACTATCTACACCTGTAAGTAATGCACCAGCTCAGTAATCATACATATACTAAACTTCAGCCATTTGCTCAAATCTTATTAGTGTCAAGTGAATTAGGTTGCATGCTTAGGAACTTGCTAAACCAAAGCTGGAATATAGAAACAAAATCTGTGGTAAGGTGCCTAAGAGAGGATTCATGTGCCTAAGTCTTTGCACAGTGCTCTGAAAGTGTTAGCCTTGTTTGTGTCTGTGTGGAAACTAGATTAGAAATACTTAAGGGCAGGTACTGGTTTAAAGATGCAAACTCTTGGGTTTAATTAATTACAGTGTCGTTCTAAACAGGATTTCAGAAAATTGTTGGGAAGCGTCGTTCTAAGTGATGCCTTCACCAAAGTCGTACTCGGACGAGAGTTGGTTGTGTAACCACGATTGTGTAGTTTAATTTTTTTCTACTTCTTGTAAGAGACAAATGCAGAGTGATTTCTGGGGATCCTGAAACTTCATTTCTCAGTGAATGGACTGTTATTCTGAAAAATGTTTGTCTAGTTCTAGTTTTCATCCATTGGACCTATATCTTCACTTAGACCGTGATGTGAGCTGAGTAGTAGCTTTATACAAAGAGACAGTTTCAGAGGTAGGAGGTTGGAATCGCCATTAGATTGTAGCTTTATCCATTTTTGCCATGCTAGGCGGCAATCCTGTGAGCAGTCAGCATATAACTTCCCTCAGAAATAAGGAGAGAAATAGTGATCAAACAGCACTGAAATAGGGACACTGAATACTATGTATAAGATAGAATGAAATGTATTGTATCATGTCATATATTTCTAATGTAAAGCTGCAGATGAAAGCTGGAGAGATCAGTATGACTTTATTGACTTCGGTGTGGATGTGCTAACATACATCAGTTGAGAAGTGGAGCCCTGCAGTCATGTCGTAGCTGCATCCCATGCTCTTGACTGGTCAGTGCTCTGTGTGAAATAATCTGAATGGAAGACGGTGAAGACACCCTGAAAAAAGCTGTCTGAGGACAGTGTGAGGGTACAGCAGAAGATAAGATTGAACATATCAACCCTAGAAAGGGCCAAAGTACTTTGTAGCACTGCAAATAAATGTGTGACCAAGGCCAGAGAAATGCAAACATTAACTGCTTGTGAAAGACTCTCCTAAATCTAATTAACAATGCCATTTCTTATTATGCACTTTAATTGTCATACACCTGCACCTACTACCAGCTTTCTTGGAAAATGAAAAGTGGGGTGGGAGGAGCACTTCATATTTTGTGACTTCTTGGAGTCACGAGAGCTGGGAGCAGGCAGTTCCTTCCTGAGCCCAGCTTGAGTTCCCATCTGCTGGAACTGTGTATTTCCAGGTAGACCAAGACCCGAGCTGAGCAGGCTCATGAGAAGACGCGGCTGGCAGAGCCGGGAGGTGGTGTTGCCAGCAGATTACAGCTGGTGCACTGCTGACATGCTACTTGGCCGGCCTGTGAGCTGGGAGCACACGGCTTCCACTCGCAAGTGAGGAACAAAACAGTGGTGGAAAAAGAAATGGGAGAGCAATGAAGGGTTTTGACCAGCCAGGAAGCTGCTGCAACTGGGAGCTAGACACAAAAGACCACTTGAGACTTGCTGGTCCTGCTTGGCTGTGCTAAATGTGAGAGGTCAGCTGCGGAGGGGCAGGAGAGGAAAGAAGTTCCTATGAAAGGGCAGGGGTTTGCTTGTTGGGGCTAGGGGACCAGATAGTGCCAAAGGAAGGAGTTTCTGGGGGTCGGACTGCTCCTGTTTGTTGCAGGCCCTCAACGTATCATGCTGACTATTGCTAACTTTGTCTGGGTGAAATTCCCCTGGGCAGGGACAAAGAGCTAGCCATTACACACCAGGTAAAAGCTATAAAGCCTTACTTCCTACGTAGGTCATTGCCAGTGCTTGGGTTGTGGGCACAGTTCTTCCCCTAGGAAATAACCCTAGGGCCCCTTGGAGTCTTTGTGTTCAAGAAAGAGGGATCTAGATGTTACATCCCTTTCCCTTCCCATGGCACTGATGCCAAAGCCAAGAAAAAATTGCTCACACTGCTCTAGGGGCAGGGGGAGAAGAACAGACCTGTAGGCTTGGTGAAGGGACATTCTGAGGAAATCCTGGTAACACAAAGGGAGAGATGGGATTTCTCTGGTCTGATGGATTCAGACTAGAATACAGTGAATGGAACCTAAGTTAAACCTAAGTTACAAATATCATGACAGGATGGTAGCCACCTCACTCCCTCGTGTGCTGTGGAGTATGAAATGAGAGCCTCAGGCTCACTGATGCAATGAGCCATTATACTCTGATGCACCTTCCTAGGACTGGCATGGCCATGTTGGGCCCTGCTATTTGGAGAGCTGCCTAGTTTCAATCCACAGGTAAACACAAATATCAGTAATAATTTATGTAAGCCTCATCCCACTTCACTGTCCATCACTCTGCCTATGCTTTAATTATCATATGCCTCGCCCTACTTACCACCATTGTTAGGAGCTGAATGAAGGGTTGAGAAAGGAACTATAAATTCCATGATCTGATCCTGGGAGACACTTCAGAGTCACCAGAGCTATAGTGTGGAGTCCTTTCCCCACTTCTGTCCTTCTTAGCACAGGGACGTGGAACTCATGTTAGCATTAATTATTATTGCTCTGAGCATTTTGGTGGTATTCCTGTTGCACTATCAACAACCCAAAGCAGAAATCCCTCATGAAGTTTGTGGTCGTGTACTGCTTCACATTTTTCATCACATTATGAGTGTCTTGTTTAGTCTGGTAAGTATGCCTTGCTTGAAACTGTTATCTGATTTTATCTTGTAATGGAAAGGGAGAGATGGTTGGATTTTATAAGCTGATATTTTAAGATACTGTAAAGAACTTTATAGAAGGATTGGGTGAGCTCTCATGTTCTGTTAATGAATAGAAAGGAGTTCACTTGTTTAGCACCTCTAACCTAGGATGTGCCTTCCTCATATGCATCGGCCTCTTTTGTAGACCCTATTACTACAGTAGACATGTACCTTCCAAAATTTTAAAACCAGCTTCATAAGCTCACATTCTCCCGAAGCTGCAGCATAAATATTCTTCTCCGCTTTCTCGTTCTTTTTTTTAATATGGTATGTTCATGAATTTGCATGTCATACTTGCTCAGGGGCAGTGAGAGCAGGCTCCTCCTGGCCCGTGATCCTGGGCCTCTAGAGGATTGCCCCACTCCTGGATTGCCTCCAGTCTCTTTTCTTGGGGCACCAGTGGCCATATGGCTCCTGGGTGCTGAGCACCTGCTAATTTTTTTTGGTAGGTACTTAAGTCCTAGAGCACCCACAGAATCAGCATCTATGGCCACACCAAAGATTTTGTGTGTTTAATTTCAAACAGCCATCATACAGGAAGAGTGGGATCTACTCATGGTGCTCTCCCAAACTGAAATGACAGTGGTTGAGAACCTTTGTGAAACTTGTTCCTCTGATATCAGAGTCCTGCAAAGGCTTCTCTTTGAAGCCAAAGCTAGAATTATCATGAAACTTAAAAGTAAACTCAGTACTTGGCACTATTATAGAGGTTATGTGACATGGACAACTGCTAGCAGTAGTCCAGTTATCTGTGTAATGGTTAAATGCATAATTGACTTAATTACACAACACACCCTTGGCCAGGTTTTACTTATTGCTTTTAAAGTATTATAAACATGGGTTAAGTTCAAAAACCCCTCAAGAGCATAGCAGTTTTCATCCCCAATGTCCACTTTGTGATGTGCAATAAACTCTAGTTAATTCCTCACTCCAGCAGAACCAGTAAGTGATAACCAAGTCATGGCTGACTTATTATCAGTAGTGAGCCACCTTTACCTTTTTGAGAGGACAAAATATTTTTTCTTTGGATATCTTTAATGAAAAAAATTGTAGAAATACTGAGTGTCGGAGTTATGCTCTCTACATTAGAATTGTCTGGTTATACAGGGAAGTGGATTATATAGGGAAGTGGAAATAACCAGTTCAAGAGTCTTACATGCACTTGTCACCAAACTAGGAGATCATTCTGCAGTATGGACTCATTGATCGTTGGTGTCTTGTTCAATCAAGAAAAACTGAAGAGAATCCAGTGCTTTGCAAGTATCACTGGGCTTGATGAGTACAGTTCATCTCTGTTAAGGAACAGATTGAGTGGCCACACACCCAGCAAAACAGGGTCCCAGATATGAAGAGAGATGTCCAGCTAACACGGTTTTGACAGTTTCCAAACATGAAGAATCCACAACTTCTCTAGGTGGTCTGTTCCGACGCCTGACCACTCTCACAGTCAGAAAGTTCTTCCTAATTTCCAGTTTAAATTTCCCCTTGAAACTTGAGGCTGTAGCTACTAGTCCTGTCTCCTAGAGCCACACAGAAAAGCCCATTTCCAGCTTCTCTGTCAGTGCCATAGTAACAAAGTTTGGCACCCGGGGCAAAGCCCTTAACAGCAGCCCACCCTCACCTCACACACAGATCCGAGGGGCACATGCCCCCCCCCACAGTGCTTGCCTGTGAGTGAATGCAGCAGCAGGAGCCGCCTTTCCCTCTTCCCAATGCCCCGCCAAATGAGCCGCTCGCGGGTCCATCCTGCGCTCTGACCCGGCTGGGTAGCGTCTGTTGGTGCCCCTACACTTCGGCGCCCAGGGAAGTCTCCCTGCTCCCCCCCCCCCCCCCCCCCCCCCCCCCCCCCCCCCCCCCTTGTCATGGCTCTGATCTCCATAATTGCCCTTCAGCTATTTGAAGACTTTTCTCAAGTCCACGCCCAGGTCTTCTCGTCTCCAAGCTAAACTTCTCCTTGTCCCTTTGCTGTCTCATGATGAATTTGGATGATATGGTCTCCAAGACAGGAACTGTGTCCTTCCTGTTTGTAAAGTAGTCCAGCACATTATTCACTGCTTCAAAAACAGACAAACAAAACCATATTTCCCATTTGTCAGATGGGTTTTTGTTCATTTGTTTTTGCAGATATTGCTCATGTGCAATGAGAAGACTTGTCTACAGCTTTCCATCTGGGGACACTTGTAGCTTGGGGAGATCATCTAGGTTCTGCTGTGGCCAGTGAGAGTTTTCCTATGGACCTCAGCAGGGCCAGGATTTCACCCTTGCTGTTTTGTGACTCCCTTAAGGAAGGAGCTGCTCGAGGAATGCAGTAATATAATAGCCTAACCCTATCCAGGATTTCTGTAGTTGCTGTTATAAAGAAGAAGCTGGTTCCAAATCAGAAAAAGGTAGCCCCAAGTTTCATTGGATAGTTGTGATGTGATAGGTGTGGGATGGTCACCGGTCAGCCAGAAAGGCATGCTTGTATTCATATTTCTAAAGCAAGTTTTGAATTAGTGTGGCTTTGGAGAAAGAACAGGAAATCCCCTTCTCCACTTATGTGTCTGCTTGCGTGATGAAGATTGCTACAATGGGAGATGCAATCCTTGCACTTCCTGAAGACTTTTAGAGCCAATTCTTTTCCTATTTAAGGGAAGTTGGGAAGACCCAGCTCCCCAATGTGCCATCTGTGGTAGGGTCCTGCAAAAAGTCCTTAGAGTTTAGGGACTGGTTAGCTCAAAGCACAGGCAGGGGACTAAGATATTTCACCTGTGGTGTTGGGGTCTAAGTGCAATCCTGTCTGAGTTGGTAGTGACCTACCATTGTTGATGATCCTAAGACCAAACGGTAGCTTGTGAATAGAAGTGGTTGTCTGAATCCATTTCAAACTATAGATGCATCCACATTGCCATGTAATAATCCCTTGGTGGGCACAACCAATAGGAAGCAAAGTTTCAATTGGTCCTGGAGATTAAATTTTCCTTCCTCTCCATCAGTCAGAATACTATTGGGATGCACTAACTGGGTATTGCATGAGTCCCAAACCCATCCATGGGGGACCTCCCAGTGCCCCAGGTTTCTCTCCTCTGTGCTGCGCTTGCCCAAGAATCAGAGCGAGGTTACTCCAGGATAACTCCTTATCCCTGGCAAGCCACAGCTCCACTGCCCTTATCCTAGAGCTTGCAGCTACAGTAAGGGAATCTCTGCCAGCCCTAGGTGGCCTCCTCGTTGGGCCGTGGAAGAAATTTTGGGTCCCTTTTTCTGTAGAAAGGATGAGGCTGGAATATCACTTGCCCAGAAATCACTCTTTCCACGGGCAATCAGTAAGGAGACAAAATAAAAAAGGATTTATTATAGAGGAGAAAAGAATTATACAAGTGTAGCATACCCAAAATGTGCACGTCATTCTGTGCTAAAAAATGTGTTTCATGTTTCTGTGTATCTTGTTTGGCTGTACAGCATGATTATGTTTTTGTGTAACATAATTGTTATATATTGTTCCTCCTCTAGGACTGGAGGGGAGGGGGAATGCTGGAATGCTTGGTGGAGCCTGAGGCCAGGTGGTACAGAGAGCCAGGGTTTCAAGTCAAGTAGCCATGTGGGGTTTAGATTGGGAGTCCAGGGCAGGAGCTGGTAGCTCACCCCTGCACTTGTTTGGCTGTACAGCATGATTATGTTTTTGTGTAACATAATTGTTATATATTGTTCCTCCTCTAGGACTGGAGGGGAGGGGGAATGCTGGAATGCTTGGTGGAGCCTGAGGCCAGGTGGTACAGAGAGCCAGGGTTTCAAGTCAAGTAGCCATGTGGGGTTTAGATTGGGAGTCCAGGGCAGGAGCTGGTAGCTCACCCCTGCAGCCACTCAGGCAGGAGCAGAGATCAGCGCTCCACAGCAGCTCGGTGGAGTCGCATCAACAGGAAACTGGAGCAGGTGCAGAGATCAGTGCTCCCCAGCACCTCAGCAGAGTTGCATCAACTTACTGGAGGGCCCTTTGCAACACATAGGGAACCGGTGCCCCCAGTGGACAGCAACGGTGAGGGAGACGATGCTCCCAAATTCCCAGGAACTAACCCCTTCTGGGTTGAGACACCCCCCCCCCTCTGCTGAGCCTGGGGTTGAAGGCTCCCCAGTAGGAGTAGGGGTGATACAAGGTATACTTTGAACCAGGACAGTATTTTTGTCTTGCTTGACTATATGTTGTGTGCTGGTGTTGGCCCCTGTAATAAATCAGGGGGTTGCATTCATTTGGCTTGCGAGGGAAAGGTTGTTGGCTTTCTTGGACACTCTAGCGATTCATTCAGTGTTTCCCAGGTGGTCTGGGTGGGGGCTCAAGCCAAGATTAAATATATTTAATACCCCAAAATTAAACTCAGCCCTTGTTGCTACTGACAGGTGCTCAGCAGAAGGGCTACGCAAGCAAAAGTGGCTATGAGTTTGAAGACAGAAAAACCAAACAAGTGAAGTTTCTTACTGTCTTCTGGCTATGCTCAAACCCTCCTGAGAGACCTTCCAGTTTCTCCACAATTCATCTCCCTTCTGATTCTGCCTGCCCTGGCTGCTGCCACAATTCAACCTCCAAAGCCCACGATTCAAAGACCATGATTCTCTCATAGCTAGACTCTAAGAAGTCTTGAAAGTCATCACGCCCTGACCCCCACACCAGCCAACATTATTTTAATTGCTCGTGAGTCAACAGCAACCTCCAGTTATATCTGGACAGCCTGAGGTACCTGAAACCCCTCTGGCTAAAGCATTATTTCTTGTAGTTGCCTCTCTGTTGTGGAGTTGATTTCCAACCCAATAATGACTCCTGCTGCCTGTGTCTGGGAATTGTAGGTGTCTTTAAATATGCATGCAGGAGTCCCTTGGGTGAACCAGGTCCAAAGTAATAAAGCAATAACAGTATAACATAATTTTTACAGTGATAAAAGTGACATAAGTAGATGCAGCGTAACATAGGCAGACAAGGTACTTTGGGTAAATGTGATATCTTTTATTAGACCAACCACATAGTTGGAAAAATTGTTTTTTGCAAGCTTTCAGGCATTAACACCCTTCTTCAGGCATAGGGAGAGTCTCCTGGTGTTTCTGGTCTCTCCTGGGTGAAAGAGAAGCCAATATGCAAAATGCAGGTATGTAAAAATGCAAATGCATGGTAGTGAAGGCCAGAGGGGATGGGAGACAATGGGTGCAAGACAGGTAGGTATGGGGAAAAGCGGGGAATGGTGATTTGGTGAATGAATGTAGCTGGTAAAATGTAGAGAATTTACCTTGGGTTATCGAATGGCAGGTAGGTTATAATGTGCCATAAATCCAGTGGCTGTCTGTATTTAGTCCATGATTTTTTGTATCCAGTAGATTTTTGAAGTGAAGTTCATAGGCTCATCTGCAAAAGGTATTTTGTAAATTCCCTTTAAGGATTAGAATTGAGGGATTGGAGAAAGAGTGGTTGTCTTGTGAGAAATGTGCACCCACAGGTACCATCCCCTACAATATAACATGGGCTTTTCAATGAGGCCACTCACACCATGTCAGTACAATAAAAATGCAAGGAAATGTTCAAGACCTGCTGGAACCCTCAGAACATAATACAGTTCATGACAGCCCGATAATTCCAGGTTTCTTTCTTTATAAACAGGAATTAATCTTGGAGAAATTAGGAATATACGTGGACCATCACATCATTAGGTTTTTACTTAATCTAATGCCATCTGGGGACACTTCAAAGCTCTTCATCAAGGATTTGACTTTCGAAAAGATAAACATGAAGATCTACCAGCCAAAAGTGCCATCTGCTGGCCTGAGGAGAGGAGTTGTTTATTGCCATGGAGGAACAGGCCGGTTTGGAAGCATTAGTAAGAAGTTTAATAGAAAAGGCATTTGGACCTATGTGAATCTAGAAGCTGTAAAGAGAACTGTGGAGTTCTTTTTATACAATAGTGTTTCTTAAATGACATGCTAATTAGGCAATATTATAACCCAGGAAGCTGTTCAAAAATGGATTGTAGTAACACACTTAAACAGAGAAGCAGCCTACGTTTATTTACACTAGAGCAAAGTCTTGCCGCTTGTTTTTTTCTTGTATGGAGATCTGTAGTGTCAAAGAATTGCCATTCTCTGCTTAGTTATAATAAATCTTACCTTAGTACATCCCCGCCTACTTTTGTGGGGCAGGGGTGGGTGTGTGGGATGGGGTGGGTGTGTGTGGGGCATGAGATGCCCCAAGCAGCCACTTGCAGGCTGGAACTTTGCCACAGTTTCCCACATTTTTCTCCATTAAAGGAGAATCCATTTTTCAAGTTTGTTGATTCCTTTTTAAAGTTTGTTCACGACCCTTTCAAATATTCTTGCAACCCACTTTTGGGTTGCGACCCACAGGTTGAGAAACGCTGCTCTAAATCATCCCAGGTTGAAGAAAATAGAGGTTCCCAAAATGAATGACTATATAGTGCTTGCAGATTCCTACCTAAGATATCCAACACCTACCAAAAAACTATAACTCTATCTCCAACGTACTAGATGCTTTTGAAAAGTGGCTTCCTGGATGATTAATTAAGAGATTTTGTTCATTTCCACTTAATACTGGTGAAGAGGTGAGAAGCAACTCTTCAAAATGAAAACCTCTCTGAATTTTGTCCGTATTTCTAAAATACAATGTTTTCAAGGTATTGCATTGATACAGCTCTTTATTTTGCAGAAGTCTATACTAACTTATGCTGCTCTATAGCCACAAAGACTGAATCAGTGGTCATGTGTGTTGGGTAAGTGATCTTTCACTATTTGCATCTCTGGGAACCATTTATGCCATTTCACCTGGTAGGTTTGTATACCCCAAATCAGCTACCAGACTTTGAAAAGAGAAAGTTAATCAGAAAAAGGAACACTGATCTTGTAGGGTAACTTGGAATAGATCCGGAACAAGTCTGGTTTGGAGCCGAAAAGAATAGACCAAACAAATGGGAAGAAAGGACTTGAGCCAAAGAAAAAGCATCCTTTCACCCAGTGTTGGGTGCTATGAGCTGTTCTTTGAAGGAAGACAAACATGCTCAAATGTCTTACTGCATGTGGACCTCTGTCAACTCCATCTTGGCTCTGGCAAGCTCCTCGTGCAAGGCATTTGTGTCTGCCTCTGTTCCAGCTCTTCGTGGTGTTTGTGCTTGAGAGAGGACTGCTTGGCTTGCTGGTGCTGGTACAGGTGTTTTGTTGGCATCAGCTCCCTAGTGAGGGCTCGGGCACTGATGAGTTTCTATTGCATCAAGGGTGAGAGCTGCTCATTCTGGATGTAGATTTCTTGCCAGGCCTCTGGATAAAGCACTTCCTGGGGCTCATCTTGGGAGTTCAGCTGCCTCTTCAGCTGACTGCCTTCTGCTCAGGGCTGTCTACAGCTCGAATCCTCCTATCCTACATATTCACCTCACTAACAGGGGTCAGGCACCCCTCATGCACCTCTGAGGAAGAAGCTTTCTCCATATTAGTGGAGCCAGACAAGTGAATACTGATCATTGTTGACTATCCAAAAAACCTCTCTCATATTGTTAGGTTACAGTTTTTACTTATCCTCATTTTGTGTGGCATGCTAGGAATTTTTATATACTTTTCAGTAACAAGCAGACAGACAATGTGGGAAAAACACTTTTATCTCCTTGGATTAGATAAATATGAATTACACTGCTACTCCTTCAGTCCAGACCTGTCAGGACTGAGCTAGTCAAGGTCATAGACAGTCCTTCACTTCCCCTGGCTGCCCGCATGCATTTTTCTTGACCTGGAAGGAGATGGAAAACTTTTACCAATTCCAAATGGCTCACTACTAAAATTCTCTGTTTGCATACTTACCGGTGAAGGTGTAAAATATCATTCCAGGCCTCAAACCTGAAGGCTGGTTACTGGTTCATGCACTGAAGCATTCAGGGAAAGAAGACCCGTCAGTTACAGTTGCCCAAATTATAATCTAAAATCAGTTTTATTTTAGGAAGGTAAACCAATTACCTTAAATCTTTTCCACTATAGTTTTCTTGAAAGAAAGAAAGAAATGGTCCCACTCATCAGAACTGGTGAAATTACAACTCCCTCTGGTATTTTAGGTATCGCTTAGCTCCCGAGCACCCATTTCCAGCCCAGTTTGACGACTGTCTCGCTGCTACCATCCACTTTATGAGGACGGCAGAAGACTATGGGGTGGACCCCGCTCGTGTTATTGTCTGTGGAGACAGCAGTGGAGGCACAATTGCTACTGCTGTTTGCCAGGCCCTGGTGGACAGAACGGACCTCCCCAAGATACGGGCACAGATGCTGATCTACCCATTTCTCCAGGCTGTGGACTTTAACTTGCCTTCATATCAGCAGAACCATACAATGCCCCCTTTGTTAAGGAAATGGACTATTCATTTGGGTCTGAGGTATTTAAATATTGATGTATCAGTGGTAGACGGCATTCTTAAAGGTATTCATATTCGTGAAGATCTCAGGGAGAAATATAGCAAATGGCTGAGTCCAGACAATATCCAGAATGAATTTAAGATCAGGGGCTATGAGCCACCCAAACTCTATCCATGTGTAGAAGAGTATTGTACCAAAGCCCAGGCATTTCTGACACCAACTTTTTCCCCACTTTTAGCCGAAGACGATGTTATTCGTCAGCTCCCTGAAACTTTCATTTTGACCTGCGAGTATGATGTGCTTAGGGATGATGGGCTGCTGTACAAGAAACGATTGGAAGACAATGAAGTCCAGGTGACCTGGTGCCACCTGAAGGATGGCTTCCACGGAGTGGTCCCTATAGCTAAAATGTATGGAATTATTTCATTTGAGGCTGGTTTGAGAGGAATCAATGCCATGGTGAAGTTTATAAGAAGTTTATAAAGAAAACCCTGTTCTTCATGCTGGAAGCCTGGCATTCTCTTTTCAAATTTGCTTCTCTTAGCCATTGGAAAAATGCCATGACCCTCTCAGCTGTCAGAGGTTTTAAGTCAACTCTGAATTTCCATCCTTGGAGCTGCCCCCTCATATTTTGCTCAAGGTGCTCAAATTAGTGACTGCTTTTTCTGTCTGCTTGTAGTCGCTGCAGCCAGATGAACCTTCAATTCACTGACTCCCCTCCTCCTGATACTTGGGAGGATGGATCTGCAGGATAGGTGGAACAGTGATTTGGGGTGAGGCACAAATTCTGGTACTTTGTCCAGAAAGACGTATATTTGTTGCAGGTTGAATCAAAGTGAAAGCTGAAGGGTCCTAGTGAAATGAACAGATTTAAGGATAGTTGTTTCCAGATTATTCAATCAAAGCAGCATGCCCCATCAGTCTAACACTGTTCATATTTCCTGGTAATTTATCAGACGATGTATTCCTTCCAGATGTTGCAAGAAGTAAAATGGTCTGAAATGAAATCTCTGTGCTTAGTTATCGTGAGGATATTTGCTGGTCAGCCACCACAAAAAGGGCTTGTCCCAGGGGATCCTTAGCCTGCCAGAGCAGAAAGCATTTTGATAAATAGATTGCTTGTGATGACCTCTGTTATGTGATGCTTCAAAACGATTAGCACAGCTGTGCCATAAACCTGTACATTTATTTGAGACTTTACATGGAGAAATTGTTGTGCATACGTGAAAGAATGACTATGCTTCATCCCTTTAGGGACAAATGGCCTTCATTGGTTGGCATTTTAAGAACAGAAATAGCTACACAATATTACTGGGGATTTTCATGGGCATGTTCCTTTCCCCTGCAAGTCTTCTTGTTATTTAACTCTGAATTGTATAAAGGATTCATATTAGATAAATGCAGTGTTTGAAGAATAAAGTTAAGTAAAATACCATTTGAATTACTGTGTTCAATATAGACATGATTATTTGGGTATTGTGCGGGCCGCCTCCCGCTCCCATCCATGTCGCCATGAGCGGGCCGGGAGCGATATGCGGACCCGTCTTTGCGCACGCGGGCTGTGACCAGCAGCCCGGGCACGCGGGGTCGGAGAGACCCAGTGGCAAGCTAGAATTAGTTACGGACGCGTAATGGTTGATTTAAAGATTATTTACTTACACCAAAGATGGTCGTGGTGTAGGCTGGACAGTTTCCAGGTTCAGCTCCGCTTAAATCCTCATTAGAGGACTACGACAATTTGGTTCTTGGCCCCGGTGTTATTGAAGCTCCGCGGGTTCGGTTCGGTAATTGGCCCCGGAGTTGTTGAAGCTCCGCGGGTTTGGTAGTTTCTTGTATAGGAAGGGATACGTCTAGGAATTTATCGGCGATGGGGAGAGGCTAGAGGCTGTTCGTTCTTTTCCCCAGAGTGGTTAAGGCTACGCAGGTTCGGTTATTTGGCCTCTATTGCCTTTTAAGAAAAGCGTTGGGTTCGTAAGGATCCGCAGCGCTTAGAGATCGTCACGCTCTTTCTCTCGAACTCCAATTGCTTTCTCTCCAACTTGGGCAGAAACCACCCAAGCTCTTTATATGGCTAGCAAGCCAATCGCTAGCCGCCACGTGTGCATAATTTCATGTGAACCAATAATGTGGCTCGAATCTAAATACAAATGGCGGGAACTCCTTGCACCGAGCATTTCTTAGATGTAAAAAGAAATGCACCATGCAAAGAAAGCTACAAATTGGCGGGAATGCCCTTTTGCACCGGGGTTCTCTTTTGCAGCAGAAAACTCTACCGTGCAAAGAAGCTGCAATTTAGCGGGAACATAATTTAGCGGCGCCAAAGCACACAAAAACAAAAAATCACAACTTTGGGTTGTGACAGGTATAACTGTTATCTTTTATTAGACCAGCTGAATAGTTGGAAAAATTGTTCTTTGCAAGCTTTCAGGCACAGATGCCCTTCCTCAAGCATAGAGAGAATCTGTTGGTGTTTGTCTTCTCTCTATTTTTTAGAACTTCAGAGCATCTGAAAACATTTCAGTGACACCCCTTTTCTTTAATAGTACTTGCACTTGAGTTGCTTTCTCATTGGTTTCTTATAAGTGTCATTGCTTCCTCATTGGTCGTTTATAAGAGCTAACCAGGTTATTGAAGCTTTTCTGTACCCAAATGGCTAAAAAAGCAAAATTGTGGCACATACATTTTCTGTATTTCCAGATTGGAAATGGCTGAGTTTTACCCTATGCATAATTTTATATTGTTCTATGATATGTCCAAATGCAGGCTCTTCACTGTGTCAAATACAGTGCACCTGATTGGCTCTCCATTGGCTCAAATCCAATGAACTGTTCATAGAACCACAGAAAATTCAGGTTGGAAGGGACCTCAAGAGGTCACATCTTGTCCAACCCCCTGCTCAAAGGAGGACCATCCCCAACTCGATCATTCATTGACAGGCAGGGCTTTGTCAAGCTGGGCCTTAAAAACTTCCAAGGATGGAGATTCCAGCACCTTTCTAGGTTCCAGTGCTTCACCAGCCTCCTAGTGAGAAAAATTTTCCTAATATCCAACCTAAACCTCCCTTGCTGCAATTTGAGCCCATTGCTCCTTGTTCTGTCATCTGCCACCACTGAGAACAATCCAGCTCCATCCTCTTTGGAACCACCCTACAGGGAACAGTTGAAGGATGCTATCCAATCCCCTCTCAGTCTTTTGCAGATGAAATAAGCCCAGTTCCCTCAGCCTCTCCTTGTAAGTCATGTTCCCCAGCCCCAAACCACTTTTGGTGGCCTCTGCTAAACACTGTCCAACTTGTCCATATACTTTCTACAGTGGGTGGCTGAAAACTGGACACAGTACTCCAGATGTAGGCTCACCAGTGCCCAGTAGAGGGGAAGAATCACTTCCCCAGTCTGCTGGCAACGCTTCTACTAATGCAGCCCAGGATGCCATTAGCCTTCTTGGCAACAAGGGCACCCTGCTGATTCATATCCATCTTACTGTCCACTGTAACCCCCAGGTCCTTTTCTGCAGAGCTGTTGCTTAGCCAGTTGGTCCCCAGCCTTGTCCTTATTGAACCTCATGAGAGTCCTTTTGGTCCAGCCCTCCGATTTATCTAGGTCACACTGTATCCTAGCCCTACCCTCCAGCATATTTACTACACCCACCAGCTTGGTGTCATGCATTAACTTGCTTAGAGTGCCATCTATCCCATCCTCCAAATTGTTAATGAAGATATTGAACAAAACTGGCCCGTGGCACCAGGACCAACCCCTGGGGCAGTCCACTTGATGGACTGCCAACTAGACCTCAAGCCATTGATCACTACCCATTGAGCCTGATGATCCAGCCACCTTTCTATCCATCTTACAGTCCATTCATCCAACCCATGCTTCTTCAGCTTGCTTGGAAGCATGCTGTGGGAGACGATGGCAAAAGCCTTGCTAAAGTCAAGGTATATCATGCCCATGGCTTTCTCCACATCCACAGAAGCAGTTATGTGATTCTAAAAGGTAATCAAGTTGGTCAGGTATGACTTACCTTTGGTGAACCCATGCTGACTGTCCTGATCATCATCTTCTCCTCCAAATGCTTAGAAAAGGATTTATTGAGAACCTGCTCCTTGATTTTTCTCAGGTCTGAGGTGAGGCTGACTGGCCTGTAGTTCTCTGGATCCTCCTTCTTCCCTTTCTTAAAGATGGGCACTATATTTGCCTTTTTCCAATAATCCCGGACCTCCTCCGATCACCACAAGTTTTCAAAGATAATGGCCAGCAGCTCTGCAGTCACATCAGCCAACTCCTTTAGGACCCTCAGGTGCATTGCATCTTGCCCCATGGACTTGCATACATCCAGCTTTTCTAAGTAGTCCCTAACCCACTCTTTCACCACTGAGGGCTACTCACCTTCTCCATAAACTGTGTTGCCTGGTGCAGTAATCTGGGAGCTGACTTTGCCTGTAAAGGCCGAGGTAAAAGAGGCATTGAGTACTTCAGCCTTTTCCTCACCACCTATCACTAGGTTGCCTCCCCGATTTAGTAAGGGACCCACACTTGTCCTCTCCTTCCTCTTGTTGCTGACATATGTGTAGAAATCTTTCTTGTTATCCTTCATGTCCCTTGCTAGATGCAACTCCACCTGTGCTTGGCCTTCCTGATTTCATCCCTGCATGCCCAAGCAATGGTCTTATACATCTCCCTAGTCATCTGTCCAAGCTTCCACTTCTTGTAAGCTTCCTTTTTGTGTTTAAACTTGCTGAAGAGGTCTCTGCTAAGCCAAGCTGGTCTTCTGCCGTATTTGCTATTCTTCCTGCACGACAGGATGATTTGTTCATGTGCCCTCAGTAAGGTTTCTTTAAAATACAAGCAACAATCTTGGACTCTTTTCCCCCTCAGCCTGACCTCCTGGACAGTATCCTCCTCCTGCCCATCAGTTCCCTAAGGGAGTCAAAGTCTGCTTTTCTGAAGTCCAGGGTGCTCTCTTTTCTTCCTCTTGTCACAATCTTGAACTTGATCATCTTGTGGCCACTACTGCCCAAGTTGCCATCCAATTCTACATCCCCCACCAATTCTTCCCTGTTTGTGAGCAACAGGTCAAGAAGAGCACAGCCCCTAGTTGGTCTCTCCAACACTTGTACCAGGAAGTTGTCTCCAGCACTCTCCAAAAATTTCCTGGATTACCCGTGCATTGTTGTATTGCCCTCCCAGCACATGTCAGGGTGATTGAAGTCTCACATGAGAACCAGGGCCTGTGATCAGGAACTTCCACTAGTCATCTGAAGAAAGCCTCATCTCCTTCATCCTGTTGGTCAAGTGGTCTATAGCAGACACCCACTGCAACATCACCCTTGTTGCTCTCCCCTCTAACCTTAACCCAGAGACTTTCAACAGGCCTATCCCCAAGTTCATACTGGAGCTCTGAGCAATCATACCGCTCTTTTACATAGAGCAGAACTCATTCTCCTCTTCTCCCTTGCCTGTCCTTCTGAACAGTTTGTGCATATCAACGACAGCACTCCAGTCATGCAAGCTACCACAAAGTATCTGTTATTTCAATCACGTCGTAGTTCCTTGACTGTGTGGGGGGACGTCCTATTTTTCCTGCTTTTTTCCCAGGTTCTTGCATTCATGTACAGACACCTGAGGTGACTAACCAACTGCCCTACTTTCTCAGGAAGAATGAGGAGGCCTCCCCTGTTACCCACTCCTTCTTGTCCTTTCTCCGGGTCTCCCACTTCCCTGCTTACTTCAGGGATTTGGTTTCCATCCCCTGGCAAACCTAGTTTAAAGCCGTCCTCATTAGCGAGGCTGTCTGCAAAGATGCTGCTCCCTCTCTTTATCAGGTGGATCCCATCTCTTCCTAGCCATCCTTCTTCTTGGAACAGCATCCCATAGACGAAGAAGCCAAATCCCTGCTGGTGACACCACCTGTACAGCCATGCATTGATCTGCAGGATGCACCTGCTCCCTTCCCTTTGAATGGAAGGATTGAGGAGAACACCACCTGGGCAAGCAGCAGACCTCCCAGGGCAACAGGTCGGGCCAGCAGATGAATCTCTCTGTCCCCTGCAGAAGGGAGTCTCCAACCAGCACCACCATTTCTTTCTCTTTGTGGAGGTTGTGTTGATCTTCCCTACCTTGGGGATTCCTGGCCTGGCCTCTTCCACCAATGGCACGTGCTCCTCCTCCTCTGTTGCTAATGCTCCATATCTGTTCTCCAGACACACTGCAGCGGGTGAGGATGATGACTTCGTTTTGCTGCCAGAGGGCACAAGCTTCCAGCTTCCACCTTCTTGGGACTCCATGCCCACTTCCCTTCCTAGCACCGCCTCTGCCAGTCT